TTTTATGTTGATTATATATATATTTCCAGGTGAGACTGTATTCATATTGAGATGAATATGACTGAAATAAATGAATGTCAGCTTCCTGTTTCGTTTTTTTTTTCTAACAATTTATGTACATACAATTTTTTTGATTTAAAACTATGAATATATTTTAGTTACTAACTAGACAATCAGTTAGTTGTCTTGACTGATAATGTAAGACCTATGCACAAATGTGAATTAATTCGAGTTTTTACACTGCATAATAAGACATTTTAAAAGAAATTAAGAAAAAGACAGATTCAGGAATTGGAAATAAAACTAATGTTAAAATAATTTGAAGAATTTTGTTCAAGAATAAAGAAAAAAACTAAGAGATGCATAGTATGGATGGTGGAGTTGAATGAGATAGAAAAAAATTATTATACATTTACTTTATGATAACAGTTTTTGAGTAACATCAATAATTATGCTATCAATCAGACCTCACTTAGTAAGTTTCGATCTCTCACGATGTCAACTAATCTAGCTGACTAAGTTTGTCCTTGACCACAACCACAAATCTAGCCCGCTTGACAGGATTTTAAGACGGACTGATAATCAATATAGTTTTAAGTTATAAAAACGAAAGAGAAAATCTCTATGATAGTCTGAAGCGATAATAAATAGATGTATTCATTTGAATAAGTTACTGACCAAGTATACACAATTTGTGTTCATGTACCAGCTAATTTATTATTAGACAAATACAAAAACCCACACACATTTTTTATACTTGTTGTTTTTTTAATGTCATTTAATTTACAATAACATTGTCATCTGTGTTTGTGACTATTCGTGATTAAATCTAGTTACAAAAAAAAATCCAACTTGTAAACGGTGAAAAAAAGAAACTACACAATCTGCACATATAGAATTGAGTCAACAATGTTTGCACAACATCGTTTCAGTCATCATTGAATTTGACCTTAGTGAAACATTGTTTTTTAAACAGTGATGTTGTTAATCAATCAGTGCAACAAAAAAAACAACTATTGTTGTTACGTGTATTTTTGCAATCATACTGACCATCATCTGTACAGACAATTGTCTAGAACATTCTTTTTTTTTAAAAAAACATCATTTTCATTGTAATCCTTGACCGAAAAAAAAATTATGACATTATCAATTGATATTAGAGGTAAATCATGATAGTGTTTTTAACTTAGTGAAAGCTACCCAATCAAATTGGATACTATTGGCTTCTTTGAATGTTTACTAGTGATTATTTTAGAGCTGTTGAATTCGAATTCAAATAGTAAGTTTGATAATAAGACTTAAGAATTTTCAGCTTGACCCATAATAATGACGAGGTTGTAAATTTAGGTGGATCACAAATTTTTCAGACTAACAGAAAATTATTGAACAAAGCTGTACTATCAAATATTAATATTGGTATTGCAAATGATATCGTTTCTTCAGGAAAATTAAATTACATCCATTTATCTAAACAAATAAAATGAAACGCAAGAAGAGGTTTTAGGGAGATGACACTTTTGAGAACAAAAAACCTTATCAATCCCATGACGAAACATCTGCTTAAGGGCTCCATGTTAGGCAAAAAATCATGAGATAAATCTGTAATGAACCTAACCTAGAAAACATCATATTTCGAACTACTAGACTCGATAAAGTATCATTTTATTTTCTTTGAATGATTATATTGATTAATTCATTTTGAAAGACATTGTGTTTCCGACGTCAATGTTTCAGTTTGACAGGTCAAACAGAATAGTACACTAAACTACAGGCTAAATCTGATACGAATTAACCTATATTACTAACTAATAGTAGAGTAGAAGATATTCCTAGGTTACTGGTTTTCGATCATAGGTGTCTTCGAAGCATTGCTCGTATATCTTGGGACAACCAAGTGAGCAACGCTGTTATTAGGAAACGGGTACTAGGTAAAAATGGCAGATCAATAGATGAAGTGGTGAAACTTCATCAGTTGAGGTGGTTGGGACATGTGCTGTGTATGCTTAACAATCAACTGGCTCGAAGAGCTTTGTTTTGTAGTGTTGGAGTAGGCTGGAAGAAAGTTAGGGGCGGCCAAACCAAAACATGGCAGAAATCCATGAAGTCACTGACAAGCTGACTGAGTCATGTTGGTAGATGTAGGCTACTTGGTTGGAGTCAGCGAGACGATAGTCACCGATGGTTAGAGACCTTGAATGACATGGCTCAGAATCGTTTGCAATGGCGCCGGTGCATTTATTTTTTGTGTTCTCTCAAATCCTAATCTTCTGGATTCTTCAACCCCTCTAGTTTCGACTCTCTAAACTTTTCTCACTGAATCATACTTCTTGAATAGTATCTTCTAATCCTAACCTCTTCAATTACTTCTAATACCTTTACTACCTCTTCTACTGTTGCATTTGAATTGACAACTGCATCTCTGTGCTAATGTGGTATGGGGACATGAACTGACGTACTTACGCACGAAGTTCTACGTTGCATCTGACTGACTGACTGACATCACTGACTATCCTCTTAAATCTCTCTCAGTGAAATACTGTTTAAATTTGCGACAAAGTGTTTTATAAAAGTCAAATCTCAGAATTCGTGGATTGTCAAAATTAATGAATTATCACTTTCGTAATAATTTTTTGACTGACTTGGTATGTTAATTTCAATAAACATGTCATGTTAAATCTATGATGTTGTGAAATCGAAATAGGGAAGTCAAATGGGCTCATCAACATACTAGATCTCAATGTATCCAAATGAATTTCATTAGTAAGTAGTAGGCCATGGTTTTAGTGATAAGTTTTGGATATTGAGGTGAGTTAAATGTCGTTTGATATGTCATTCATGGTTCTCTGAGATGTATTTTCAACGTAAGTAATTTGTAATTTCGAATTTATAGTTGATTAACAAAAAGCTGACATTTGATCTCATATAGATTTATCTGTCCACCAAGTTTTAACATTTATCTATGATTGGAAAATATCTTAATTCGTCTTAATTCACGAAAACGAAAAAAAATTCTTTGAACATTGAAATGATTCAACCATCAGAAACTAATATTTATAAAATTAAATTCACCGTGAAAAAGAATGAGTTAAATTACTGTTATTATTACGAATGCACGCAATCTAATACAAATTAGGTAGGATAATTTGTTCGGTTAATAATCAATCTATATAGATGCAAAGGGAAAAAAACCCTTAATACTTTTCATGATTGGTAATGTTGGCATAAATGTTTTTACCCTCAGGCTGACAAAGATTGAACTCTCTAACATTTTTTAATTTTCACAGTTATCCCACCCTTCTATAATATACTATTGTCTCCATTAGGTGAAAGGTCATGAAATAAACCGAAACAACTAAGTCATACTAGATATTCCTTGGGTCCAGACAAAAAAACCAAAACTTTATCATGTTCGGTTGTGTGTGTGTGTGTGTATTTGTGTGTTTGACTATCCTGACCTGATCCATAAATTCTCTCACCGTATAAACTTTGTGATAATCAATGACGCAATGGTTTGTGTACAGGCCTGTACACATGTCACATATATATATATAGATTTCGGTTAGAAAAAAGAGAGACTGTTCAGCTTTATTATATTTTTTTTGAAAAATTCCTTTTTTGTACATGTGTGGTTTGAAGCGATGTAAAATAGAAAAAAAGACCACGTGTTGTAAAGTTAGCTTATTCATTCTCCTACAGAGTTGAACATCTGCTATAGTTGTTTGATCAAATTAAAACATTGTTTTGGAATTTGAAGCTCACTACTTACTTACTTACTTAGACCTTAACGAATTAATTTTTTTTTGGTTGTTGAAAGAAGAAACAAGTAAGAAAATACACAAATTACGTCATTATACCAGCAGGAAACTAAGTGAATGTATATAAATAAGTTTTTTCTCTCTTGTTCTATATTTTTTGAAAGTTAACACCAGTATTAGGTGGTTGTACATACTCAAAGGAACTAAACATGATCATATTTTTTGCGTATACTATATTTTGGGTTTGTACTTCTGCAAGTACAGTTAATAGTAAAATAACATTTAATCAACATTTTACCTCATTGTATAGATTTGTAATAGTAGTCACTTATAAATCGATAACATATAAACCTATGAGTTTTAGTTTTGATTGCAATAGTCAAAATTTCAGCTAATTCATGATATTGTTGTACTTAACATCTGATCTTTGCTGCGTTAAGCAATCCCACATGCATGCGTACATGTATTCATAACACTAAAAAAGATGAGCAACTTTGTTAATTCCATTTCATTTTCTCTACGATTGTTGTAATGTTCAAAATGCAAGTTATTTATACAGGAGAATGTTGAAACATTCTAGCATGTGCAGAATATTCAAAAAAATCTAACTAACTGTCATATTAACTACAAATAAATCAGATCTTAATGAGTATAACCACAAATAAATACTTTCCAATGAACGAATTTCAGTAAATAGTAAAACAACAAATATATTGTATGATAGGGATTCCATAAATTCGATCGTGAATAGTTTTGTTAGATATGAATAACTAAGATATAACAGTACCTAGATCTTAGCCTAGTATGTAGTTATTACATTTCTTGAATTTCATATAGCTTTGAAATCTTGTCAAAATTTTCTATTCCATTTTCTGTGTATATTTTCCAGTGATCAACGCATCAAATTATCTAGCAGGATTATTTTAAGTTTGCCTCGTTCTAATCATAAATACTAGATCAGAAAATACTCAGTTTGCACAGTGTAATGGTTAGCAGTATTAATATGAAAAAAAAAATTAGTTTTAGTGTTATTTTCTGGAAAGGCTGTAAAAGTCTTACATTTAAACCATCTGCTTGACAATTAGCAATATTCATCGACCTTCCTTCACATAAACTATTAGTCCCATAAAAAAATCCACTGGTTTATTCAAGAAATAATGACTTTTTTTACAAGTTTATTTATTTTAAAGAGTGAGATGCAGTTTAAAAAATTAAACCATTGTTTATTTACTTATTTTAACATAGTACTGAAGAACTATTTCGTGGAGGATACCCATCTGCTCAAAGCTCTTATCAAGAGGAACCGTCTATAAATACAGATTGCTGTTCAAGATTTAACACATCTAGTGTAGATCCTAAACAAACTTCAGGCATGGTAAATACAGTACATACAATCAATGGAGGACAAAAGTACACCGAATCAAACAGTGACAACTCTTTATTAAAGGATGATCATTCATATGGTCTTAACAATCATGAATGTAATCCAAATCACTATCCTTGTCCTCAATCAGAATTAAATTTAAGCGCCAGTTATCCAATTCAGTCGATCCACAATACAACTGAAGAACATATTTCACTTGAGATTAGTTCTGAAACACAAAGAGCATTGGAATCATCAAATAGTACTCCACCATCAACTGAAAACAATGATATTCATTGTCAAGAAAAATCTAACTTATTACTTACTCCACCTCAACATTCACCTTTAACCAAAACTACATTAACCAACCAAATGATTACTTCTAACTGGACAAAAAACAGCCAGTGGAATACCAATTGTTCCAAGTCTAATCATGAAACAAATGAGCGCCAAAATTCATACTGTTTTAAAGAAGATACAAATGAACAGATATTTTTAGATTATACTGATATGAATTCAACTGCTATACAATCCCCCAATGCTTTTACAGATGATCAAACAGGTAATTGAATTTAATTTTTGCATTTGTACTTTATAATCAAACAAGTCGTATTCCATTCAACTGTCTTGTTGAAAATAAAATCATAGATTTATTCGATTTCTAAAATATGATGATTATTTGATTTTGGCTATACGTGGATATCGAACACTGGATAGTTCTATATTCAAAATATAAATGTTTATTGAAAGTTATGGCACCTACTTACTGAGCAGTCATGATAAGATGTTGTTCTGCTTATTTCGAATGCTAATAGGCTGACATTCCTACTTAAGCATAGTTTTCAGTTAAAACTCTGCATAATTACTGTTAACCCTTTGTCAACAGATGAGTTACAGCATCATAAACCGGAGTACAGTTTTTACTATCCAGTAAATCAGATATTATATCTAGGCCATTTAAACGAGAAAAGTTCTCAAGGGAATAGTGTTTTATTTTCATCTATTTATCAACTACTTATCAAATAAATTATACCCAGGCATGTAAATAATTAACTCTACAGAATTATATATTTTCACTATTGAACACTAAACATGAACCATGGTATTTTTTAAATGAGTCTTAAAAATTCGAATAAGCATAAAGCTGTTACACAATAAAAATTTGTGCTTTTATTTGTAATAAGATTAATTAGTCATTGAAATCATTTCTCATAAATCTCTGAATGTTCCTCTCAATAGCTGATTGTGTATAATTGTAGGTCAGTCAATTATATTACCGTATTATAAATAATGATAGATTATGCCGTTAATCATAATAGATATTAATGATCATAGAAACGGCCGTCCAGTGCTTCCAGGTTCTCTACTGGTGGTCTAACATTGGTCGATTGATTCATGGTTTCAATACAAACTTAAAAATCTTCACAACCCCGTAATACGAAGTAATTACATTTTTTTAATATATATTTCTTTCTCTCTCTTCCCACAGGTCATTCAATAGTTAGTAGTGATGCACAATCTTCCGGTGATGAATCGGATGAAGGAATGAGTCTGGCGAATTTTGAACAATTCACCAATGCAATGCAACCAAATCATGCTGGTTTATATTTTTGTCATTTATGTGATTTTGCAGGTAATTTATGAAATTATTTTGTTCATAATAATGAATGTCAATTAAAGATTTTTATAATTTAATTTAATATGGTGTTAAAGAATTTTTAATTGATTGGCATGTTCTGGCTTCATCGTGAAATGTAATCGTGGCCAGAGAATGAGTCTCAAATAAAACGAAATGCATATTTTGGAGTCTGTTGTACATAACTAACCTTAATTAAATTACTTTTCATGATCAACAAGTGGGACATATTTATTTTATTGTTGTTTAACGCATACGAAGGAACTCATTTAGTTCAAGACAGTTCGATTGCAGAAATTTCGTAAAAAAAGACTTTTGATTATCTCGTTACTTTAAATCCTTGAAATGTGGGAACTTGTAATATCAGTTGCATTTGATATGGATGGGCATTTTCGTATTATGTATACACTATCACCTAGTTAACTGGTAGTTATCTCTTAACTTAGAGAGAAGGTCAAGTTACCAACTCTTTCTCCATCCAACTAACTGAATGCAGCATTCTGATATAAATAAACGATGTAGATGCGAAAAAAGAACCATACAATTATCAAGTGCAAACTGTTTTGGAACTGTGTCATCCAATATTTACAAGCGGTTCGTTCTCTCATTAAAACGGATGACACAGTTTCTCTTTCTTACTTAAAATATGATAGAATTTTCAAAAGAGTTTTATTTTTAGTAAAAGAACATGATCTATAGAATCTCTTCTATTGGAACTAAAGCATTTAATGAGTAGTTTAAATAGATTTTTCTCATTTCATTTTGTAAGTTCCCTGCGTCTATTTTTTGAAATCATCTAACATTTTCAACAGTTTACCAACTAATGTCAAGATGTTAAAATGGCTATCTAAATAATTAATAACGTTTCAACAAAATCATCTTATTCGCTGTGAAAATACATTTCTTTCATAAGTTATAAGTATGCTAATATCTGATATAGTTAACGAGATTGATCCAAAGTCTATGCTATTAGATGTTTTATTACCCTATGAGAATAATAATAGTAATATATTTCACATAAATTAATTTTTAGCATAACTTTTAATTCAATGATTATTGTTCCCATTTCAGTGGTAATTTTAAATGATAGGACATCAGTTCTTCTTTCTTTTTTTTTAAGTTTTAGGTCAATTATACAATTTTACAGTGTATATTTTTCAATTTATATATATATATATATATATATATATATATATATATATATTTGTAGTATTCACCAAAGTATATTAAAATGCAAAGAACTTTCTTATCGACAAAATATGCGGGTTTAATGTGAACAGATAAAAATATAAAAATTTCACCTGAAATCTCTTTTAAACTGTACATAAAATGTAATGAAATTACCTTAAAAATTTTTTGAAAAAAATTTTCAATTTGAATCAATTGTGTTTTCTGTTTAGAAAAAACAATACAAATGTTCATTGTTCACTTACGGCGAATTGGTTGGATAAAATAAATGACCAACAACAAGTAATTCAGTTTGATAGTTTACATTTAGAATGAAAATGTTAAATATTCTTCTAGTGGATCAAATTAACATTCACTGTCTATCGGTAAAATATCCAAATTACCAATGTATAAATTTTTGTTATTTCATGGTATTCATTTCATAATACCTTCTAATTAATATCACTGCTTAGTTATTTGTACAATTTTCAATTATTTATTGGTAATATTAAAGGTTGAACTGATTGACAAATGTAAAACAAAATGTATTGTTATTAAATTAGGTAGTTCAATAGCCCTAAAAAAAACTTGCAGAATAATTGTTTCTTAAAAGTTTTGATTTGTCTCGCACACTTCTTCGAATAAATTAAACGTTCGATTTGTGTGTATTACCAGTGAAAGTGAATTCCTTGAGATCATTGAAATAAATTGTCATTAGTCAGAGGAAGTAGTCTACAGTAGTTCAGAAATTAGAAAAACAAATGTCCACCAATTAAGTCGGTAAAAGTAGCGGTTTCTAACAATCTGTCAGTCCTTTCAAAAAATTTTAGTTTTTGGTTAACACTTTTCAACTCACAATAAATATAATATTCTATTTACTCAACCAAATTGTCGAATTTAACAGAACATAATTTTTGCTAAGAAGTAGTGATTGTGATTGTGTTAAATGGAGTGGTTTAGTTTGTTTTTGATTTGATCACACTCATATATGATTACTGTAACATTTGGGCACTTACTACAACTCATATCAATTATGACATCTCTTAATTATTAGTTCTTTTTGAAAACATTTGGCCATTCATTCTGAGATAGTTTTGTTTTCAAAAGCAACTGATATACCTGTTACTGCATTTAAATCAACAAAATCATGTAATCATTAATACAATCTTTATATTTGCCAAGTCATTTATTTCAATATGTTCTTTAGATTCTACGAAAAATGCTTATTATTATAAGTTAACTTTTTGGATGAGTGGATCATCTGCAGAAAATCGACAGGACTTACACAAATGACATTTGATCATTTTTGAAATAAAAATTGATTTGTTTACCTCGTTATACACAGGTCTTCTATTGAACTTGTCAGTTATATATCACTATTAGCTAAATTTCTGTACTCAACAATAGTACACACAAGTGCAACAACAACAATAGGCAAGCTGATTATAGTGTAATTGATATCAGTAACATGGAGTACTTGGAACTAATCTTTTTAAAAAATACAATTCTTTTGGATGAATTCATTTAACTAATCTTGAAGGGATAATAAATTATCCTAGATCTTGTGTTAGTTCAACGATCGAATTACTTTAAATATTGTTGATTAGTAGATACTGTTATCTCTCATGGATTGATGTGGAAATAAACTTGAAATTGCAAACACCTATTTCAAAATAAGTATTATGAAACAGGGAAGAAGATCCATTGAGAGTCACTACTGAGATGATTAACCGAAACAAAAATGAAATATTCCCTTTTGTGTCTTATCTTGTTCCTTTATTTAATAAGCCTAATACCTTTGTAAAATTTTCCGTAACAGAACCATAAACTTTCGAATGTGTTGATTTATTTGTCAGTTTCTGTTGTATATCAGTTGATTCATTGATCAGTAACCACATTTATCATTAGTTTTAATCCCCGACAGTGGCTGCTACCTTGACGTGGTGGTTGGGCTTGCCTATCGTTATGATCCTACCTAGTAGAAGATATTCGTAGGTTACTAGTCTTCGATCATAGGTGTCTTCGAAGCATTGCTCGTATATCCTGGGACACCCGAGTGAGAAACGCTGTTATTAGGAAACAGGTGCTAGGTAAAAATGGCAGATCAATAGATGAAGTAATGAAGCTGCATCCTACTCTTCAACCCCTCTAATTTTGTCTTTCTAAACTTATCTTACTGAATTATACTTCTTGAATGATATCTTCTAATCCTAATCTCTCCGATTACTTCTAATACCTTTACTACCTCTCCTACTGTTGGATTTGAACTGACAATTATATCTCTGTGCTGATGTGATATGGCAACATGAATTGATGTACTTACGTACAAAGTTCTACGTTGCATCTGATTGACTGACTAATTTTAAACATCTCATCACTTTTTCTAATGCCACTTTCAGTTGTTTGGTCAACTTTCCAAATGATCGTTGTTATTTACCTCCATATAAGCCATATTATTTCCATTTACCAAAAAAATTATATCCTCACTACTTACTTTAATCCAAATAAAATTAAAATTAAAAATTTATTTTTTGTCCGATAAGAATTGTTCTTACAAAAAAATATTCCGTTTTCTAATTCATTCCATGTTGTTTCAAACAACAATGCGCGCGAGATAGAAAGGTAAAAAAACAACACACAAAAAGTAGAAACGATAATGACCAAAAATATAATTTGCTTATTTCCTGAAACTTTGTTTTCTTTCAAATCTTTCGTTTTTTTCTTCAAAAAACAATCCCAGAAATTAGAGTAAACTTTTTACGTTCAGTTTTTCATTCATCCGTTCATTGTGACTGAAATTTGAATAGGACATTGAAGATTTTAAACTCAATAAGATAATTAAAGCAAAAATTTATTTGAGAAAGATATTTTTCTGTTGGATTGGATAGACTTAAAAGCATATTTCCTGAATAAATAGTTATCTAATTAATAAATAAACCATAATATTTTGAATATTTAGATTATTTCGTTTACATCAAATAAAAAACTTTTTGCATTCACCTAGAAAGATGACAAGTTTTTTGAAAGTTACTCTACGTTTTTCTTAAAATTAAATGTTCAGTTTTCGTAATTCTCACCCAAACCTATGCTATTTAGTTCAAGCAGATGTGTAAAGATAGTGACTGGTTGTACAAGAATTGTCATAATTGTCAAAGTAACTACTTGAAAAGACGTAATCAATTTTTGTTTCGGGAAAATTTTGAATAACGCTGATCAAAATATACAAGCAGTAATGATAATAAATATTTCTCATAGTGTTAGCTCCCAATTGTTAATCAGTTCTAAACTCATTGAAATGTTTAACAGTCTTAATCATTTTTCAAATTTAAAACCCAGACCAGGATTTTCATTGTACGTACGTACATCAGTTCACGCTACCACACCTCATTAGCAGAGAGACGCAATTATCAATTCAAATCCCATATTAGTAGAGGGATTAAAAGTATTAGCAGCAGTCAAAAAGATTTATGATCGAATATATCACTTGAGATGTATACCTCAGAGGAATTGATTAAAATAAAGAGAAAACACACTCGTGATGAATTCAGAAGATTAAAATTTTAGAGAACACAAACAGTGTATGCTCGTGCACCATTGAAAACGATTTTGAGCCATGTCGTTCAAGGTCTCTAACCATCGATTACTAACATCTCGCGGACCCCAACAAGGTAGCCTGCATCTACCAACATGACTCGGTTCACTTGTCAGTGACTTCATGGGTTTCTGCCATGTTTTGATTTGGATGCCTCCAGCTTTCTTTCAACCTACTCTTGCACCATAAAATATAGCTCGTCAAGGCAGTTGGTGGTTAGGCATACGTAACACATGTCCCAACCACCTCAACTGGTGAAGTTTCACTACTTCATTGATTGATCTGCCATCCTTACCTAGTACTCGTTTCCTAACGACAGCATTGCTTACTCGGTTGTCCCACGATATACGAGCAATGTTTCGAAGACACCTATGATCGAAAACCAGTAACCTACGAATATCTTTTACTCTGACTTGCCATGCTTTACTAATGAGTAAATTTCGTCTTCCCATTAAATGCTAAAGCATGTAGAATTAATTCAATATCTTTTATAAATTCACTAGCTTACATTTAACCTGTTTTATACTTGTAATCCTATATTTCCCGTAGAGAAACAATATTCATTGTAGACAACTAATTTCGTAATAACGATTAATACATTTTGTTTTTGGTCAAACAGTAATTTACCGATTAATTCCAATTTTCCGTTGGATTTCAAGACCATAGGTAAATAGTTTGCTAGTCTGTTGTAGACCCTGAAATATCGAATTCCTCAGTGTTTACAACTAAATGTATATATCCATTACATAATAAACATCTTTATTCTTACAGTTGATAATCAACATAAGTCTGCAGCACACTATTGAATAAATAAAATTACGAAGCAACAGAGGAGGAGGCAGGGGTAGTGCAATTGAACAATGCGTCTAAATGATTATTAATAATAGAAGTTACAGTTGAGTTTGAAAAAAATGCAATCAGAAAGAATTAATTCATAGTTAAGTCAGGTTAAAGGAAACGTGAATAACATCTTCATTTGAGTTCTATTTTAAGAAAAGAATATGCATATATTTATCATGAAAATTACTTTTAAGCTAATCTAAACTAATTATCCACATATTTTATTCAACTAATTTTTAAATTTGGCCAAAAAACAAAGGAATCATCTATTAAATCTTAAAACCATTCTAATTTTCATGTATGACTTTTTATGTAAAAACTGTTTACTTTTCTCATTTTTAATTTATTTAACATTCTTTTCCCATTAAAAATAACAATATCAAAAGATATGAATATTTTACTCATAAAAATCGTATTATAAATGAGGGAAAAAAATAATCATAAACGGTTTCATCATATTTTACACTAAAGCTAACAAAACAAAGAGTAGTAAAAGATGAAAAAAAAACTTAGAATAGAAATAAAGCATTTCATACGTGCATCTAAAATTTATATCAATAAATAAGTAAATATATATATATACATCTATTTATTGTAAACATAGAATGTAACTGCATGCATGCATGTCTTTCAAAAGTATCAGGTGTGCAGGTGATAAAACAATTATTTATTACAAGATAAACTAACACGAACAATGATAGATAACTACTATTCATGTATGCTAAAAGTTAAAATTAAATGAAAAAGAATATTTTTTTTTTAAAAAAAAAGAAGAGGGATTTTTTTTGGAAAAAATCTAGCTGAAGGAAAAAAAAACAAACAAACTTTTATTCACAATAATAATAAGAATAGCAGTCTACAGAGAAGGAAAAGGATGAACTTATATATATATTTATATGTACAAGAGAAGTAAAAAGGGAAGAAAGACTGGATTGATGTTGATGACATGAATAAGGCAGAAAGATGATTGAACGGAAGCAAAAAAGAAAAAAAACGAAGTGTATGCAAAGAGTGGATAACCAGTTTATAAAGTTAAATGAATTAATTCACTAAAAAATATGATGCACAAAATCAGTAAAGAAAGAAATAGATAGGTCATGATGTCATTCTTATGTTGGGTATATATATATATATATTTACATATTTGAGAGAATCATTAAAATATTGTTTTAAATAAGAAGAGTTTTTATAAATTGATGAAAAGTTTAATTTTGATATTTATTTATTAAGAAAATGAACATTGTGAATTCTTAATATGTTGAAATTAGAAACTTACAAATGCCCTAGTGCTTACAACTAGTGATCGTATCTTGTTTGCAAAAAGCCATAATTTTTATGCAACTACAGTTTGAAACTGTAATGTACAACTGACAAGTTTACTGTGACAATTAATAATAATCATTCATTATTAACTTTTTACATTTGGTAATCATCTTTACTGTTGTTAAAATTATTGAGCGCCATTGGTCAAAGTTGACTTTTAAGTTTATTACAAGATTACATTATAGATAATTTTATTGTTAAAATACGGATCACTTGGTTTATTTAATTATAATATTTATTTAGTTAGTAAGAGTTATTTTTTGTAGAAAAAACATGGCACCCATGTTCATGTAGCACTTACTCTTAAATTAGTAAAATAATAGAGATACATTCAAATATCATTGAGTTAATTAAACACATTGTTTTTACACAAATAACATGTTGCTTGTATGTGACTGACGAGAAAGCACGAAATGATACTATCTCACATTGTTTTAAATGAAAAAAACAAACAATTACTTGAAACAGAAGAAACATGAATGTTAACTATTTAACTGCTATTTTTTCAAAATACCTAAACAGTAAAATAAAACACTGAATGATACTTTTGTTCTTAGTGCTATTTTAAAAATTCAGACTGACCATCATTCTCATTCAAAATCTAGTTAAACATTTACAGAAATAGAAAACAAAACATTGTGTGAATAATGTTTGAAGAAAAAAAAAACTGAATAATGATAATAGTAGATGTAGATAATTTTTGATAATTTTAATTAATTTTCTTTGAGGAAGCTTGAAATATTTTTTTCAACAGGTCAACATTTACAATTGTTTACTATTTAAATATGTTTCATTATCATATTGAAAAAAGACTTTAAAGGTCTTCCCAATGTGTGTGTGTATGTGTTCACAGCTTCTCTAATTCAAGTTGATTACGTAATACCAACAGAAAAGAACACATGTAGGCAAAAATCAGATAAACAAACAACAACAACAAACAACTTTTTTTTGTGTGTGTGTACATTTTGAAAATGTTTATTTCACAATAATCATATACCAGTAAGTTTACTATAACACAGTTAAACATGATTTATCAATTGATCAAATTTTCTAAATAATGATAATAATAATAATAATAATAATAATCAACAAATCAGAATCAAAAATGAAGTGAACTTTTGTTATTTACAGTTGAATTCAAATGTCGGTTATTAGAATGCTTAAAAGTTGGATATTTATAAACTTGTTCAAAATGAAATGAAATAGCTTCACTTTCATGCATATCTTACAGTTCTTTAGAATTTAATAATTAACTAGAGTACTAGTTAGTAAGCTTATCATGAATTAGCTCAATTTTCGTTAACTAGAGAAAAAAATGGCACACATACTCATGTAGAAAAAGTATGGGTAGCTTATCTTTAGGAATTCATAAACTACTATTGTTAATACTTACATTAGGAATGTGAAAAATAGACATAAGTTTGCTATTTAATTGCCATTGAATTGGACTTTTGAATGATTTTTTTTAGGATAATTTAGAACCGTGACAATTGGTCTTTTAGTTCAAGCTAATACATATAAATGCAAAAAAAAGTATAAAGTTAGTTGAACGAAAGGCTCAAAAACAAGTACGAAGTAAAGAACTAATGGTCCTGTATGACTTTATCATATTACATCTCAGTCACTTTATCAAAGCGGTCTACAATTTATTTTATTAATCAAGTAACTGGTCAAGATACTTTGTTATCTCCCATCAGTTTTTTTTTAATATTTAAGCTTAGTTTATCAACATTTACCATTCAGAGTCAAAGGACTTCTTTATACGAGTAACTTGTATTTTATTTGCATTCAGTTGGGGCAGTAAGTAACATATACATATGTTCGAAGATGATCCATATATAAACAGTACCTTTAAACACACACCAAAATATTATCATTTGTACGACTGGATGCGAATTCAAGGAATAGTAAAGAATCAAAACAGCAATTCATAACTCTATCATCGAATAAGACCAAATATCGGAGAGATTGCTGTACAAAATGTCTCAAGAAATTCACAGTTTGAGAAACAGCTTGAAAATATTTAATACTATCGTCTGCTTGTTTTGAGTTAATCTAAATGTGTATTGAAATTGCTGTTCTAAGTATTTCAATTATTAGTAATATTCTCAAATGTCTGTCTGATGATAGTTTCTGTTTTTTCTTTATATTTTTATATTTATATATTATAGGAAATGTTAGACAAGAATTTCAAGATCATCTATTATCACATTATGATTATAAATGTTTAAAATGCGATTATACTTCACGTACAGAAGGTCGTTTAAAACGTCATATGAAAGATTTTCATTCTGATGTACCACCGGAAAATTTCTCTGGTAAAACAATCAGATCTATGCGTCCAAAATTACAACGATGTAAACAATGTGATTTTGTGACTGATACAAAGGTAAATTTTAAATGATGTCCAAATATTATTATTATTATTATTCAATGTGCTTAATTATTTATTGTTGAAATATGTTGAATTAGATTCTGCGTTACGTTGCTGAAGATGACAGTTTGAAATTGCTACAGAGTAGTAGATTAATTTAGGGTAGAAATATCTATATACTTTCGCAAACTGATATGTTGTGGGAGAGAATTTTTTTATCTATAACAAGATAAATAATTCGTTCTCCCTACAAATAAGTGACGTGGGTTATGAGATGGTGGAGAAAACTTGTAGCTCAGGTGGATGATTGTGGTGGTGTTTTGTTCTCTGAGCTGGTTGTTTTGATTGTGGAGCTTTCATTGTTCTTCTGAACAACATCATCAGCACAAACTTCAGATAGAAGTGAAGCATTCGAATTTCTCCACGTTTGACCTGTAGCTTGTTCTGCTATCTTCAATGTTTATACATGAAGGCTACACAATTGAAAAAATAGTAAACTCGGGTCAATAAATGATTAGTTTATTTGACAAATTTGCATTGTTCAGAACTATAAATTTCATCTTTTCATTCCCTTGTCAAAATTTAACAGACCTAACTTTTTGTTTAAGCTTAGATGTACATCTGTCGTAATATTTAACATTTTTAATCTTCACGATTCTGTTTCACTATAAAGTTTTATAACGGAAAAACATTTTACTGTATGATCATATTCATTTTCACTTACTAAATCATTAAAACTGCCTCGTATAGGGATTATAACTAGATTTTGTTTCATTCCAGTTGATGTTCAAATCTAAATTCAGTTTCGTTTTCTATTTGTTTGTGTACACATTCTGCAAATTATTTTATTCACGACATGCGTCTATCACTAAACAAAACTGATTAAACATTTCTTTTAATTGTAAAATTAGAATTGTCATTACTCGTGTCATTATCATTACTGTTATCATTATGAAGATGACAGCAGTTAATGATTGTATGATATGATTAGTAATTCATTTTATTTCCTAATGCTGTTTATAGTTCAAATTATTTGAAAAACCATACAACTTAATAATATTTCTAACTAGACGAAAGTTAGTAACGCGAAATATTCCTTTTAATAATTAGCTGGGTGTTCCCAACCATTTTGTTTATGATACTCTTGTTTAAAACCTGAAAAAATAAGAGAATAGAACAAATGGAATGTAACAGAATCCAAGATATCTGTTTTGTTTCTATTTAGGACTCATCAGCCGAATGTTTCTGTATCTAAGAGTTGCTGATGGAATAGCTTTATTGAGACTATTCCCACAAGATTCACATACAAAACTTAAAGCTTATCAAAATTCAGTCACAATATCAACAATAAAATGGTAAGAATAATTAAAAGTTTAGTTATAAGAATCTCTATTCTTCCAGTCTCAATCTAACTGTAACTATGTTCTATTTCCACTGGTCCACGTTTAATTATGATTAATTAGTCAAGTTGTTTTAGGCTGCCACTAAGCCTAGGCGGAAGGTTCAAAAGTCTTTTACTTGTTCAGGCACATATTTTGAGCTAATTAGAGAATTTCTATAGCAAAATGTTTTTGAAAAATGCTAATAGATTTCATTATGATTGCTTTGTATTCATTTCATTAACATTTCTTTAAAAAATACATGTGCACACAAAATAAAGTCGGTCAGTCTGAATGAAACTAGTCAGATTCTAAATACTGGAACGAACCCTGAATATTGGATTTTTGAAATTATTATTAATATAAATATTTATAAATATTATGATATTTATACAAGATGCTTATGTGTATTTGATATTTTTATGACTAAATTTTATGAATTTATACTGCACAATTGAATGCATGTAAAGTGGTTTTTGTGACCAGTTGTTTAATAAACTTGATTGTTGTACAGTTTAGTGGTGAATTTAAACTGGTATTTGAAAACTCTGAGAGTCAGAGACAGTGGTTTAGTCTTAAGCTTACATGTCTTTTAGAATAGGTACAAATTTACAATGAATGATGAGATTAAAATCCATTGGTTTCTCCTCTTATTCAGTAACCTAAAATCAATTTGAGGGTGTTTAGTGTCGAGAAGTTTTTAGCTAGATTGACATACTTATCAAATACGGCGTTGTTTCGTCGGATCTGATGGCTTTTATGATTGGTTTTGAAGTCCCTTTCCAATTTTTTCAGATCAGTTTGAGAGGAAATGTCTCTTGCTTTCCAACTGTCAGTTGCCTGTTGATTTTAGTTTTTGATGAAAATACGGTTAAATGCACTCCTATGTATGTGAACAACGATTGAGATTGAATGAAGACAATTCAATGCAAGATATAAGTATCTTATCGATAAATAAAGTAGCAACAAAAAAAATTGTTCCTTTTTCAAAGACTTATTTGAATATTGATAAATATCTTCAGCTCAAAATTATTTATTTCTCTATTGTTTAGAGTTAGCGTCTTGGAATAAAGTACACGCTCCAAACTCTTATTTGCTGATAATTAATTAGTGAATATTAGTTAAGTTTTAAGAAATCGGAATTTCACGACTCGTCAGGCTAGAAAACAAATTATGCTAATATTATATGCTTGACAATAAAAAGTGAAAAGTCCACAACCCATAAAAAATTTATTTGCTAGAACAGCTTTTGTCACTAGTTCCGCAAGACATTGTTCCAACATAAAGCTCAAGTTGTTTTATGTAGACCAAATATTTTATTTCAAACTGATCAAATTTAAAATTAACAGCGATACGATTTGTGTTACTTATTGATAATAAGTAGTATAAAATAATCACTTAAAAGGTACGGGAGAGAAAACTAGGCTTAGAGGTGCATAAACTAAGTATTGAAACAGCTGCTAATAAAAAACCAGATGGCATTTAAATCATTGTTTTCATGAACAATGACTTTTGGAATATGTATTTTCTGCTTGTGGCCTGGCTGTTATCAAACGGAAAAGTTTTTTTCCAATTTAACTAACTGGATAATTTAAACATTATTTCAACATTATTTTAGTGCCATAAATATTGAATTGCAAATGAATAGTCACTTGTGAAATTGATAGTCAGCATTTTCTGTCAACTGTACAATGAAAATTATAGTCATAGCAGTTACTCTTCAAACTTATGTTAGTTGGAATATCGGTAAATAATGCTGCTTGAAGTATACTTTACTTTCGGTCACTAATCTTATAACGAAGATAATTAATTGAGAGTATCTACGAGCCGTCAAGATATTTATAGTAGAAATTTATCAATCAGACTACTAATACTTTTTTCAACTGGGCTAATATATTAAAATAATCATTGTTCTCTTACTTCTCCCAAACAATCATGAAATATGATATATAATGGCAATAAAACCATGAAAGTCTTTTCAGTTGAATTTACACCAATACGATCTAGATATGTAGGAAAACATGTTAATGATAGTCAGATAAATCGAAATGTAAAAAAAACAAATGGATTGTTAGGTAGACAGAATAAAATCAAATGAATGGTCATCATATTACATTAATAGCCCTCCAGTGATTTTATGCCAGTATAACACATACATTAATGACAAAATTGAATGACTTTAAAGATAATTGTCAATGAAACCTTACCTTCAAAATTATAATTCGTCGGTAAGTTTTTCCTGCATAGCCTATAATACCTAATGTCTAAAAAGTGTTAAAGAATCGTAGACATTGGAATATCTAGCCAATATTTCAACTGCTTTGTGTTAATTTTATAGAATTTTATTGTTCTTTGTTTTTTCATGCATTAATAGGATGAATTTTGGCGTCATTTACGTATCCATATCAAAGAAGATAAACGCTTAGAATGTCATTTATGCTGTTTTATAACAGAATATAAGCATCATTTGGAATATCATATGCGAAATCATATGGGTTCTAAACCATATAAATGTCCAAAATGTAATTATGAATGTGTCAATAAGTCAATGTTAAATAGTCATATGAAATCTCATTCCAACGTTTATCCATATCGTTGCGCAAATTGTCATTATGCTACAAAATATTGTCATAGTTTAAAACTACACCTTACAAAGCATGAACATAAGCCAGCTGTAGTTTTAAATTCTGACGGAAGTTTGCCACCTTATGATAATACAGTGGAATTGATGAATGTAAAACGTGGACCGACTATTCGACATGGTAATTCAAAATCACACCGCCGACGTTGTAATTCGTCAGAATCAACAAAAGCGAAAATAAAAACGTCATCAACACCAAAAAGTATCATTGAAAATGTTACACTTGTTAGTACAGTCTCTACATGTTCAACAGGTGAAAATGCAACTCCAAGTAAAGAAAATCAAAACCAAACTATGGGAGATGCGAATCTCATGAATATACCCATGGACCTAAATTGTACTTCATCTTTTAATACCGAACAGTCAATGGTTGGATTCCAAACATTTGAAGCAACACAACCAAATGGCACCGTATTTTCGACTTCGAATCTAAGTACACCTGTTCTATTTCCAACTCTTACCAATGTAAATAATATTCCGGCTAAATTTATGGAAACAGTTAATTCAATAACTTCAGATCCAATACCGATCACCAATGCTTTTAATGATGTTTCAGTTACTAGCAGTAATATAATTGCAAATCCTCATTTGAATCCAATTGTTTGTAATTCAGATGGGACTGGAGGACAGTGTATAACTGTCACTTCAGATCCATTTTTAAATTATTCTGTTTCTGCATATTCTTCAATGGTAGCCTTTATGGCTGCAATGCAATGCGGTGATTATAATCGAGCTCGTTTAATTTCATCTGGTTCAACAAATTTATCAGAGTTGACTGATTTAAATTTTGTATCGTCCAATTCACTTTGTACAACGGATATTTCCAGTACAATGCCGTCAGTTGGATTATGTAAAAATGAGGCATCAGCTTCTTTAATATCATCAAATCGTACTGAGTACATGCAAACAAATGAAGTAAACAATCCAAATTTTAAAGTTTCCGAGATGAATTATCCAATAAATAATTCATCTAGTTTTAATACAGACACACAAGTTAATCATTCAGTAAGTGAGTCAAACCATCCACCAGTGTGTTCATCATCGGTTATTCCTGATATTGCTATCACACCAAATAAACGTATATCTCTACTAGGAAATGAAATTCCAACCAGCGAACCGATGGAAATAATCAAAACGAAAGAAGCATCTAGTAGGAATTTGGAGAAAATGACAAATATCATATCGAATAAAACTGTGTATAGTGATTTAGAATCAGCTTTAGATTTATCTTCTGCATCGTACAATAAAAGGAATATAGACTGTGATAAATTTCATAAACCCATGGAATATAATTTTAAATTAAAAACTTCTGAAGCTAACGAACAAAATCTTCAAATAATTAGACATGGAAAAAATAATGGGAAATTACTTACAAAAGAGCCACAAAATGTTAAGTCATCAATTATATCATCATCATCATCACCATCATCATCATCAATCGCAATGGACAATAGTTTGGATAATGAAAATAATAATAATAATAATAATAATAATAATAATAATAATAATAACAATAAAGATTCATTAGATTTCATTCATGAATGTCGATTTTGTGAAATACGCTTTCGTCAACGTACTCTATATGATATACATATGGGATTTCATAGTCATTCCGATCCTTATTTATGCAATCGTTGCGGTCACCAAAGTAATGATTCTGTTGAATTTTTCACTCATCTTGGAGAAGAAGCACATTATTCATAGAAATATTTTACAAAACTATCATTTCTTACATACATACATACATACATATACAAATAGTTTGATTTTTCAATTATTTTTTGGTTTTGTTGTATAATTTAAAATTGTTTTTGTTTCTTCTTAAATTATGTACAGTTTATTAATTAAACAGTTTTTGACTCACTTTTACAAACATAAGTGGACATTATTTTTTAGCATATTCAATTGTCGATTCAAAAGCATGTAAAATTACGTAACATTTAACATTGAATATACTGATGAAAATAATTCAGAGTTTATAATTATCACACATTTGAAATCATCAATCAATCATTGTAAGACCACCACTAGAAACCTGGAAGCACTTGACGGCCGTTCCGTCCTGACAATTAAAGAATATTACTTTCTCCTATTTAGTAATGAAATGTCATCGGGCAAAATCAATTAGGTAGGTAGTAAAGGCATTTTCCTGAGTACGCCTCAATTTTCACATTTGTCTCCAGTGAGTTTATAAACTCCATCTACTTGGTAAACAATAATATATTACTTTGCGCTTCTGAATTTAGTACGATATGCACAGTAATACTTCAGCAGAGCGTTCACCAGACCAGAATTCATTGAGCATATCCTCTGTAACTCCACAGCTTTATGTAGTTTGCTTGCTGTAAGTTAAAGTATCGACAAACGAATATATGCATCTGCTCTCAACGACACTTCGACTGAAAGAAAGGCTTTTGACTGTTAATTGAAAATCTCTAACGTAATATTCTTTAACGAAGTATTCGATATCGAGTTCATGAAAACTGACACCGTTCTCAAGAGATGTGTGGATTTTATAATCCGAAGGACAAATGACTAGATAGAAATTAGGGCGAAATAGAAGACATTAAGACAAATGATTATAAGTTTGAATTTTAAAAAGTAAGTTAATGTAAAACTTCACAACAAAACAGCAAAACCTGACCTAGCGACAAAAGTGTTGTAATATGAGGTCAGTCCATGGTAAAATAGCGTGACGACCAGTAGTAGACTATGATCACCACTACAGACCAATTTCGTGCCCGTCACAGAGAAGATAAGTTGATCCATGCAAAAAATATATTTCCTGGCGATTTCATGGTATCGAAATGATACCGAAATCGTGCCGGAAAAGAGGGGCGAAAGTACAGAGACCCTGGAGCCAAAGATGGCAGCAACACAAACGAAAAGTTTGCGCGTACAGAGTAGTAATAAACAAAGAGGTTCAGCAGAACAATCACTGGTACAACTGTTTAAAGCAATGAATGTTTCTATTAAACCAATCACGTTCTCTTCATAAAAGTAGATCACTACAGGAACATCACTCTAGAAAGGGTTTACACTTTCGATACGTGGCTGTTTTGGTAGTGGGGCTGATAGGCAAACGTGCGACTGTAAGACGCGAGGGTTAACGAACAGGAAGCTACCGCTGATCCTGGAGTTGCCCCAGAATGTCTTTTGCATAGAATGGTGCCAGGAGCAACGTGCCATGTTTACAGCTGGAGTTGGCGTGCCACACCAGAGTGGTCTATATCCAGAATCTGAATATTGCTTTCGTAGGGCTCCGGACCAGAAAACTCTTCAGACATAGGACGATACCATGTTGAGTTGAGAAACAAGAAGCGACCATAATAACCAAGTTCAAGACCGTACGTATGCCAGACGTAGTCAGAACCAGAACACTGACTGCGTGCATTGACAAAAGCGTTGTTGACCAGGCCAGTTTTTTACAAGATTGACTGAAGTGGACGGCAGCAGCAGGGAAATGATCGAAGGTGTGAGCTCAGTATAAAAAAATCAAAGGAAAAGGAAAAGGTGTAACAGGCATGTAGTAAGGAGTATTATCCTAAACCCTATACGTTGCTTATTGAGACTAGACGCGAAAGCGTACAGGTAGGTGTATTCGGCGACCAGAATGTGAAATAATGGTCTCGTTCATAAATCGTGATTGAGAGCTTGAGACTGCAAACTTATCCGAATTCAGTGACGACGTGATCTACTGATTTGGAAGTGAGACTGAAGTCTCATCCGTACATAATGCAGATAACTCGTGGTGTTGACTGGGACGTAAGAATGAGTTCTCTGATGTATCTAGAGTGGATTCTAAAAGAGACTTAGGGATCCCAGTGGTGAATTAGACAGGTCTAGCATTTATCTCGACTTATCGGGTAGAGCACTGACTTGTGCTAGTCCGAAACGATCAGTGCTGACTATCTTGATGCAGCCGTGTCTATCAACCTTCAAGATCTTCTCATGGCGGGAAATCGCGTGAAAAGATCCTTCGTAAGGCTGTTGCAAAGGTTTGCGTACCGAATCTACTCGTATGAAAACATATGGACAGGTAAATAACTTTCGAGGGAGAGCGATCTGTCGATGCTATATTCGAGTTCAAACCAGGGGCAGTGTTTGCATGTACGCAGATATTCATTAGACGTTATCTGAAATACATAAAATCGCTGCTCCATGGTGTGAAAAATTCCTCGAGCAGATTCAATGTCGTGCCATATACTAGTTCGGAGGCGGAACATTGGATATCTGGTTTCCTGAAACCCCGTTCTAGACTTCATGTTAGAGCATTTAATGCACGTATATTATGTCAAATAGGGCAACAGGCTTCGTTAGATAGAACTTTAAAATCTCGCGCCATCGGTGAATGCTGCGTCTCGGAAACGCGCGTACGGGATCCTATTAAAGTCATTGTTACGGGAAAAATGAAGACATTTGGCTGATCAAAACCTTTATATAAATATCATTAATTTCACTGTGTTTTTTGGGTATATTTGTTTTACTTAACTTATGAACTTGTTTGATTTATTATTTTCGACCCTCTTGATTTCTGTTTGTCTTGGTTTGGTCGTTTGCAATTTTTGCTCGAGGAACCTATAAAATTGAAGGTATTTGTAATTATTATAATTATTGTTGTTAGAACGACATCGGTCGACTATTTGTAAACTGACAAACGATATTTTGGTCAACTATTTGTAAATTACGAACAAACTTTGGTGCCTAACTTTGGAGTTTGGTTTTGTTGTTAATTTGGGTTCGTGAATTGCAAATAGATCGACATACTGTACTTCAATAACGGAAGGAGCAAAACTTGGACGTAACAAAAGTTCTTCAATTTTAATTTTTTGTCATACATTGGATACGTGTGGACATTTTGGGTCCAAAGTTCTTCAATTTCAATTCTGTTGTTATACATTGGATACGTCTGGACATTTTGGGTCAAATTTTTGTTATTATTTGTCGAATACGTTTGGATTAATTCACATTTGCTTGGCAACGGATTTTTGAACGAAGGCATACAATGGAAACCAGAAGTAAAAGCCGAAGGAAATTGACGGAATGGATTGTAAAGATTCTAAAGCTGTTTGTGGTATGTCTGATTTTAATGATGATAAACGTGATGATATTAGTGTTAATAGTAAGTCCTCAGCTCAGTTTAGTACTTCTAGATTGAGGTTAGATAAAGCATTACTAAAGAAGAAGAATTCGGAAAGGAGACTTGAGTTAGAAAGGCAGCTTAAAATGTTAGATCTTCAAGAGGAGGTTGATATGGCCGAATTAGAATGTAAGGTCATAGAAAACGATAACCGACTGTCAGTAGACAAATCTGAGATAAATGCTAAGGTGGAAAGGTACTTGGATTGTGACATTGCGCGTAATAAGCATTCCGTGGAGGTATTTAACACCTCAAAATGCGATTGTATTGATGAATTAAAGGATACGTTACGTGCTACGGTTAATAATACGGTTTTGCCTAAGATCGATATGATGTTTTTTGACGGACAACCAAGCCAGTACCACCGTTTTATTAGTCAGTTTACAAGCATTATAGAGAGTAAACTGTCTGACAAGTGCCAGTTGTTGTCATATTTGTCATACTATTGTAAAGGAAAGGCCAGAACGGCTATTGAAGCTTGTATTTCCTTGCCCAGTCACTTGGGTTACGATAGAGCTAAACAAATTTTGTATGATCTATTTGGTAAAGAACATCTTGTCGCCCGTAATCTTATTACTGAATTACTTATCCACAAATCTGTTGAAGGATCCGCCGATGGCCTAACTGACTTCGCAATTAAGCTACGTAATGTATGCATAACATTGACGGAATTGGGGTATATATCTGATGTGAATTCTACGGCTAATCTGGAAATAATTGTGTCATGTTTACCCCTGGAATTACAGAATAAATTGGTGGAAGCTGCTGATAGGATCATGATGACGGGTAGGGATCCGATTTTAGAAGAATTAGTGATGTTTGTAGAAGAAAGAGCCAGGATTGCACGATCACGTTTTGGTAGATTGGTACATTGTAACTCAAAGTTCCGTAAAAGTAATTATGAAGGCCAAGTTGACAGGAGATCACGCTTTAATGTAGTTAAGCGGGAACCAAGCAAATCATTCAAGGCTTTAAGTTGCGAAATTTGTTTTGGTGATCACAATGAGAAAGACTGTAGGAAGTTATCAAAAATGAATGTTACAGAGAGGAGACAGGAAGTGAGGAAGCATGGTCTATGCTACCTGTGTTTAAGGAAGGGTCACATAGCCAAGTCATGTAACTCGGACATAAGGTGTGACGTTGATAATTGTAAGATTCGGCATAATCCATTATTACATATTGATGCTACTAACAAACATGTGGTGAACTTTGCTAAGGATTGGAAATTCTCAAATGTTTGTTTGGGTATCATTTCGGTCAGACAATATGGCCCCAAAGGATGTCTGGAAACATACGCCCTTTTAGATAATGGTTCAGATACCTCTATTGTATGCGAAGAGTTAATTAATCGGTTAGGTCTCAAAGGTAAAGAGACTTCGATAAAGGTGACGGCTGTGAATGGAACTTCTACTTGTGAATGTCTGGAAGTAAATTTAGAGGTATTTTCATTAGATGGGAGACAGGAAGCATCCGTTTGGTGTGCGTACTCATCTCGGTTGGATGATTTTAGGTCCTAAAGAAGCATCGAGGTCTTTACATCAAGTTCAGTGATGTCATTGTTCCA